GTTATTTTTTTTTTCTTTATCCATTAATGGAAGTCGTGGAAGAAAATCAGCACAATTCAGATTTGAATTTACATACTAAATATCAAAATCATAGAAATATAAAAATATTGCATAGCGCTGTAACCTATTTGCTGTCATAACTGGGAAACCTTTTTTTGGTCCAAAAATTGACACTAACGGTTTGTGGTCACATTTTAGAAAAAAATTACGGCCCCACAGATACGAATTTAATTTTTGTAAACCATAAACTATAGATAATGCCTCCTTGTTTAATTGACTGTATCTTTTTCCGGTATCTGATAATACTCTAGAACTGAATGCTATCGGTTTTTCAATACCCGACGGATAACTGTGGGATAGGGTTGCACCTAAACCGTACGATGAAGCATCTACCGTTAAAATTAGATCAACATCTGGGTTATAGTGTGCTAAAACTTGAGGAGAAGTAATTGCTTTTTCAGTTTCCGAAAATGCCTTTTCACCCTGTTCGTTCCATTCAAATGGGTGATCTTTTTTTAATAAGTCATAAAGAGGAAATAAAATGTCGGTCAGATTTGGTATAAATCTGTGATAGTATTGTACGCTGAACAACAACGATTTTATTTATGAAATATTTGTCGGTCGCGGAATTTTCAAAATAGCTTCAATTTTCTTCGCAGATTTATGTAACCCATTTTTGTCTATAACATGCCCTAAATACTCAACCGAATTTTTGAAAAAATGACATTTTTCTTTTTTTAATGTCAAGCCACTTTCTTTTAGTATATCCAAAACTAATTCTAACCTTGCAATATCTTCTTTTTTATTTTTACCGGTCACTAGAATGTCATCCAAGAAACAATAAACTCCTGGTATGCAACTTAAAACCTGCTCAATTATATACTGGAAGTATCCAGGTCCCGACGAAATTCCAAAAGGTAGACGTGTATAGAAGTATACACCTCTATGTGTAGAAATAGCAGTTAGTTTTTTTTGATTCCTCATCTAGCAATATTTGTTGATGAGAAAATTTCAAATCAAGTTTGGAAAATTGCTCACCATTACATAATTTTGCAAACACATCCTCTATTTTTGGTAATGGATAACGACAAATTTCGATATGAGGATTCAAACTAATTTTATAGTCTCCACAGATTTGAACATTTACTTTATCGTCTTTTAATACTGGAACAATCGGTGTGTCCCATTCAGAATATTGCACTGGTCTATTTTGAGCAATTTATCTATTTCTATCTCTACTTTTTCCCTAAGAGCATGAGCTATTGGACTAGGTTTAAAAACTTTAGGTTTAATACCTTATTTCAATTTAAGGGATAGTTTTCCTTTATTGAATGTTCCCAATTCGTCCTTGAAAACATCTGCATATTTTGTTTGCCAAGTTTCCACAATTTTTTTATCTGAAATCTCATCTATATAATTCAACTGCCTGAATCCTAAATTGAATTTGTGAATGAAATCACGCCCCAGTAACAAGTTGTCGCCCCGTCTAATAACAAAAAAATCCAAAATATGGGAACGGTTATTAAAAATGACTCCAAGTTCATCGTCGTAGGTTTTTGTCTATGCATCTGCCCTTGACTGCCGCCTCTTTGCCCTCTTCCGCGCGGGCGTATCGAATCTTCTTCCAAGCGATGTATTTCTTCCATTTTCACTTGCACTGGTAATCCATAATTATTTTGAGCTGACTCTGTCATTTATGCGCTGCTGATGGCTTCTTCAATTGTTAACATTTCGGTTTTGGTAAATAAGGTATCCAAAATTCTTCCAGGTTCGAAACCACATATAAATTTATCCCGAAGTGCATTGTCTAAATAAGTACCAAATTAACAATGTGTAGCAAGCCTTCTAAGACGTACTAAATATTCTTGAATGATTTCTATTTTAAGCTTTTTCGCAGAATAAAAAGCATACATTTCTGCATAAACAGCCCGTTGCGGTTGATAATGTTTCTCCAATAACTCAACCAACACATTGAAACCTTTATTTTCTGGTTTATCGGGAACACATAAGTCCTCGAGTAAGGCAAATGCAATCTGATTAAGGCTATTCAACAACATTGCTCGCTGTTTACTTTCCTCTGCCACCTCATTAGCAGTAAAAAACGATTTTCGCCGGACATAGATGCCGAAATCGTGAATGTCTGGATTGAACTCCGTTTGTAACCCAAATTGTTCCGTCGCCATGTTACTTGTTTTCAATTAAACAAATCCGTTGTTAGACTAAATTTTCAATATACGTTCATCCTCGTCGCCACTGTGATGTCTGTCATCCATGAAACACCTCCAATGTTCATTCAATAACCATATTATCCAATTTTAAAATACCAAATCACAGAGCCCTGTCCAAGGACGTCACAGATAACTTTTTATAGACAGACTATAAGTATTCTAGTCCAGGCACATTCCTACTGACATTACAGTTTGCAATCTTCTTTCTATAAGTAACTGGAAATGGCTTTGTTGAAATTGAATCAGTACAAATATCAAATCAAATCAAAACATGCTTTATTATCTTTATTATTGAATTAAATTAAAATTATGCAAACCAATATGGATTGTCGGATGTTAAAAGTGGATGTTCTTAATGTATATATACAGTCATGTTACTATAAAATATTTTCACAACAATACAGTAGAATAGAATATGTATATATGTATATATTTTATTTAGTGTCATTGAAACAGTAGATTGATACAACAAATATACATTCCATGTATATTCCACATATTATTTCAGTATTCACTCATTCGATAATTATACAAACTGAACTGTCATAAGTAAATCTCAACCGTATGCCTGACAACACGGCAATCCTATCTTCCTTCTGCACGGGATTGATTCGCAATATTCTGCAATATTACGGCTTCATTGTGAATTATTTTATCTTCTTGACCACATCATTGTTAATAACACTGTAATGGCTATTGCTGACTTCGCTGCTATTGAGATATAACAATGATTCATTCAATCACAATCACTATATATATCAAAATATATAATATAATATCAAAATTACTCAAGTGACACTGGGCCGTTTACAAAACTGCAACACGTGTTTTGCTACTAAATAGCTTGGGGGAGTGTGAGGGAGCTATTGTATAGCGAAAAAATGCAATTTTTTAGCGGAATTTGTCCAGTGGAAATCTCAAAATGAAACTTTATTCGAATACATTTCATTGGTTCGGACTTCCATTGTCTAATATGATATAAAACGATTTAAAATCCCCGCAAGAATCAATAAAATCAAAATAAATAGCTGGAAATATTGATTATATCAAGCAAAACACTTTGAAATTAAATTAAAATGATATACAAGCAATAATTGATAATTCGATTGAATGAAAAAATGAAAATTAAAAGATATCAAGCCAAGTTACTTCACGACGTTTCGATTGTTAGTATCCACAATCATCTTCGGGTGATGACTGGACTTATTTTTCGGAGCGATGACTATTTATAGGTCATGCGAGTGCTTTCACCTTTCCCCTCTTCCCTCTGCCCGCTTCACTGGTTTGGCAGAAGCTGACAGTTTGGCAGCAGTTTACCGTTTTCCGCTTGTTGTTTGCCATTTGTTATGTATATCTATGCTAGCTTGGCTGAATGCGTTGTTGGACAACATATATGCGTTTTCGTTGAATTTCCTCCTAAACCAGTGTTTCTTCCTGTGGATGATCTCAGCTTGAGACCACTTGATGATATATTGATCAGTCCAAACATTTCCCATTTGCTGGTTTCTCCTCGTTGTGTGTGTTTCTTGTGCTCGCCATTGCGGACTTTCAATGGCCGTATCCGATATCCGGAAAATGATATTCTTGGAAACACAGTCCTCGTTTGGTGGCCTCGTTTTCGTGAGGCTGCTACGGATAATGTTTCCGGATCTGAAGCAGGTTCTGATGTTGTACTTGGACCCAATTTTTCTTACCCTTTCCGACAAACCTCTGATGTAGGGAAGTGCAAGTAGTGGTTGCGACGGCTTCCCTTCCTTGTGAGGAGCTTGCTGTCTATTGGTCAAAGTCTGTTTCACCATCACTTTTGAGTAACTATTCCATTGAAGATTATTTTTAATAATGCCTAGTTCTTTCTTGAGACCTTTCTTTGTATAATAGAACCCGAAAGCACGGTCTACTAGAGTCCTGATGACTCCTCTTTTAGTTGATTGATGGTGGTTGGATTCGTCATCCACATACTGTCCCGTGTGATTGGGTTATCAATATATAGATGTATTCTACTCAGTGTCGGTCCTCTTCAAGAAATAGCAGAACATGTTTGAACTCATGTTCACAGATCATAGGAAGAAACACTGGTTTAAGAGAAAATTCAAAGAAGCCGCATAAATGTTGCCCAACAACGCATTCAGTTGAGCTAGCGTAGAAACACGCAACATATGGAAACCGATAATTAAGCGAAAAACGGCCAGCACTCTTCAAACGGCCAGCTTCCGCTAAACCGGTGAAGAGGGGAGAGGAGATAGGTGGAAGCACTCGCTTGGCCTACAAATAGTCATCGCTCGGAGAAATAAGCCCAGTCATCATCTGAAGATGATTGTGGATACTAACAATCGAAACGTGAAGTAATTTGGCTTGAATTGTTTTAATTTCAATTTCTTTTTGTTTTGTTCAATGTTCAATTGTTGCTTGTATTTTACATTAATTCCATTTCAGGGTGTTTCAATTTATATAATTGTTATTTTCAGCTATTTATTTTGATTTTATTGATTCTTTCAGGAATTTCAAATCATTTTATATCATATTAGGCAATGGAAGTCCGAACTTATGAAATTTACCATAAAAAATTGTTATTTATTTCACAGTGTGAAATTTCACTGTGCTACATTCCTACTCACGATCTTTTTCATTGAATCTTTTCTGGATATTCTCAAATGGAACAGATAAAACATCAGTATAATCCAAGATGAAAATAATAAAGGATTTTCTCACAAGTCTTCCGTGAACTGGACTCGAAGGCAAATTATGAATAATTCTCCCTTCATTTTGTTCCAGGACTTTACCTCTACATTCTCGTTGTGGAAACATTAACAAGAGAGAACTTCAAACTGAGAGTATATGTCTGTATTGGATGGGGTGAGTTGCAATGAGATATAGGAACATTTTAAATCCGTTTTTTTTGCTACCGTTTTCATCGAATTCCAATTCAGCTTTCAACATAATGCATATTGGTAGCATCATCGAAATATTCACGCTCATTCAATGGGGAATGTTACTCCTGACGAAAATCAAGTAGTTTTCATAAAAGAGCTCTAAAACAACGCATTTTAAACTTATCATTTCAACGTTTTTCTTTAAAGAATTATTTAAATACTTAAAAAAGAGAAATGAAATAATGCATTCAACATTTTGAGGGATTCGTTTCTATTTCACCATTTGGCAACATCGGTAATAGCTATAAAGGACGATGAATCTGTTACCTGTATGAGACAAACAAAGATGACATATTTCAGAGGCGTGCTGTTCTGTTTACTTATGTTCCGAGTTCCGAAACATTCTGTGACATATGATATTTTATGCACCTAACCTATCCTCCTCTATATAAATAAATAACAAAACAACTGTTGTTTATGTGGGTAATGGAGGTGGTATTGAACTATAATTTATATTTTGCTTTAATTGTATATTTATAAAGATACTTTTCTTTTTTAAAGTAGAATATCTAAGTACGTATAAATTATTTCAACTTGATATAGGCGCTGTTGCCAATATGTGAATTAGAAAAATTAAAACCCAACATTTTCAACATCAATTTGAATACTTTTCGAAGTGAATTTGAAAAACTCATGAATTAAACTCAACTTCATTTTGTTCAAACTTGCATTTGCTGTAATAAACCAAATTGAGGAACATTTCCCATTATGGAATATCTCTCTAGCCTGAATCAATTTGACATGTTCGACAGTTCATTGAATTCAATTTTATTCGTAGCCTACATTTCATGCATATTATTTATGAACTCAGCAATTGCAATATCTTGTAATACATTGTTTGGCTGTACCTTATTTAGTTCACCAACGTTCTGTATACCGGGTAGACCAATAATAAAAAATGATATCGCGTAGTCTATATATAAAGAAACTGTAGTCTATATATGTAAAAAGGTTTTTTTCGTTTCCAAAATCTACCCTTATTCAATAGCTAGCACCATTATCATCAAGATTTATTTCACCTGATTGTTCACAAGTTATCACTTGGATTGATGCTCACAATGAGAAATTGTAGTTTTTGTGAACTCTGTTACAAAAAAGGGTAATGAATGATCTACAAATATCAGAACAGTTAGTAGGACATTATCGATATAATCGATAACAGAGAGAAAGGAAAATCATCTGTAAAACCGATATAATGAGCGAAAAATAATAAAATTTCTGTTTTCAATTATGTCAGTATTGATCACACTTCAAATGCTTGGCGACAAGTTCTACTTTTTCAATTCGAAACATTGTTCACAGGTCTTCCAATGGTTTTCATAGTGGTGTGGGCAATAGTGAAAAGCTTTCTTCCAGTCTCAGGTGATCCTGCTAATACAGTAAGTTGAAAATCAACTTTAATATTTACAAATCCCTTTCTTGTCTACCTAAAGGTTCAAAACGAGTGTTGAAGTATAAGTCAAATGTTGATGGTCTTCATGAGAAATGAAAGTATGAACAGTATACTGATGTTCTAGAATTCTAGATCAAAAGATTTTAATCACAATTCAAATCTTTCAGGAATGTCTCGCATCGATAGTTATTCCAATTTAATCAATCAGAAAATATAAGGTAATAACATGAATAACATCAATCGCGATATCCGAATGAATCCTAAACTCAGGAAAGATAGTACTTTTAATGAGTTTTCTTTAGCAACTTATTCTTCGTCGGCGAATATCAGTACCAATTTCCGACGCTGTATAAACGAAACATAACCCGAATTATATTCATATCTTTGGAATTACATAACAAATTGTAATGCATATGGTGTACAGCGTCATATTCACAACATAAAGAATATGTATTTGAAAATTATATGGCATATACAAGTTCGTTCAGTATCTCTTTTTCTGGCCCCATTCCACCGGTGGTGGGCGTATTCAACTCCCAATCAGCTACTTCATATTTTGAACGACGATTTGCCATTCGAGATTCGTTTGGTCATAATGACAAACTTAAAAAAAAACATTATTATTGCTTCATTCTTTATAAATTACACTAGCAGGGGAGTCCACGATGCAAAATGGGGATTGACTCGAGCGTCATTGAGACATATTAGGTTGCAAAGCTTAGATGATAAAATGAAAAAAATGTTATATAATATATACCTCTTCATCGGTGGGGGAAGCGGCTATAGATTTTCAAATATATAAAAAAATACTGTTGTATGGACATATTCGAGCGCGTCAGATATGTCCTACGTATTTTTAATAATGTTCGTATGTTTATCTGATCGTTTGCATGATGTGGGTGGTTGTACGTAAGGGTTAAAAGTGAAAAGAAAAAAAAATTAATCGATCGCGTCAGATTTTCTTAGCGGGTGTTGAGTGCAACAAAAAAAATCTCTCATTCAATAATCTGACGATTTTGATCTGACGCAAACTCGCGACCATTATTATAATGAATGAATGAATGAAAAAAATTGCCATTTTGAGATACTCAAGCGCGTCAGATTAAGATATATATGGTTCATCTTTATGTTTTAGACGTGCTGTCTCATAATCTGACAATTATCTAGAGGGATTCGCTTAATCTGTCGAAAACAATTTTTTATTTAATTCATAGTACTTAATTAATTGAAAAGCTCAGGAAATAGCATGCAAATGAATAAGTGTATGTTGTTTAAGTAGAATACTTGTATTTACAAGAAAATAATTTTTAAAAAATGCTCAAAAAAAATTTAATTTCTTATAATCAATTGATTGATTAATGAAGAGAAGAGAAATTCAATTTTCAATGTTTTTTACCACTTTTATTTGCAACTAGCGTTACTGCAGTTTCTTCCTATTAGGACATTTTCAAACTTATATATTGTATAAGTTTGAAAATGTCCTTATATATTGTATAGGTTTGAAAATGTCCTTATAGAACGAAACTACAGTAACGTTAGTCACAAATAAAAGTGGTAAAAACATAGAAAGTTCAATTTCTCTTTTATTCATTATGATTTCCTACCACGTAGTAACGGCAACATCCATCAATTGATTGATTAATTAATCATCATCTTCATCTTCATCACGAACGAGTTTCTGTGATCAGCTGCGATAGCGTCATGGCAACAGAATTCAGAGTAAGGACGGAGTGAGAGATTAATAGATAGAGAAAAAGTGAATAGAGAATAGAGGAATAGAAACTCGGAGACGGAAATATAGGTATCACACAGCTGCAAGCACTAAACTTTATCGACGAATGTTTGTCATTTCGGCTTGCGAAAATCGTCAGAGTATATATTTTTCATTATCCTTGAATTATTTACTTCAAAATAAAAAAAAATTAGCTACGCTCGAGAATGTTTAAATGACGTTATTTTTTCACAACATTGCTGCCCTCCCCTTTCTTTACGTCACTTTCAAATTGAAAAATTACTGGAATATATACTTTTTAGCAGGTAATCAACTCACCCTACCTTAATCTGATGCGCTCGAAAATTTCTGATCATCAATTTTTTTTTACTAATCTGATTCTTTATCCCTCACAGGCGGCCTTATATATGGGGCTCATATTTAGTGGAGGTACTTAACCGGGTATAAGGTAACACCCTGTATATTGACCTGCCGCGCTATAGTAAATCCCGACATCCCCGCTTGGGCTCCCCTATTAAAATAAATTGTTGGATGTAGCCGTTACTATGTGGCAGGAAATCACAATTAGGAAAGGGGAATTGAAACTTTCCATGTTTTTACCACTTTCACTTGTAAATAACGTTTAATGTATAAGTTTGAAAATGTTCTTATACGACGAAACTGCAGTAACTTCAGTTACAAATAAAAGTGGTAAAAACATAGGGAGTTTCAATTCTCTTTTCTTTTTTATGAACTACAATTATTATTGTTTCCATTATCGAATGATGAATGAGGTAAGCCGAAATGTATTCAACACCCTGGTGAATACTCTGTACTTTCCTGAGAGATCTAATAACTTTCCCAAACCTCAAAAGAACCACTCGTAATGCTACCTCTCCAAATCCATTGAGATGATTTCAACCTAACTGATATAATCTCAGGATGCTGGAACTATTTCCTTTGATATTCATGTTAAAACTCTTACTGGCAAGGAATGTGAGGGCCAATTTCTGATCTGAAATAGCAGGAAAACTTTCAAGTTGTGAGCGGCTGAAGGAAAGTAAATTGAAATTGAGGGACGACACACGAAAGTCACGAAGGAGTAGCTTGAGTGGAAACTGCTTCAAAAAAGGAAAAGTGGAAATGTAATGTTTGGGAAAGAAAATATGTTCGACGTGACATGATACCCAGATGGTAAAAATGGAATAGTGATGAGGGTGTGATGTCTGATTATCCGTTTGTGAACTGTCGAATCTTGCGATGACATTTACCGGATTTTTATTCGAAATCGATTTGAGTTTTTTTCTACTCACGCACATGACAGTTTTGCAAATTGCTATTTGCGATATATGAACGAAGAGTTGGAGATGTGAGAAAATAAAGGGGATTCATTAGAAATATGGAAAAATTCTAGGAAACAATCTCGTCTCTATTGGAAATATATTTTGTAATACTTCTATCAACTGCAATAACACTTCCAAAATACAAATCATGAAATTATAAAACAACAAAAATTAATTGGCGCTCCTGGGCGACTTCATTGATTTCAGTAGTGCATTTGCTTATTCAGCTGCAGGAAAACCCGGAAAAACCTGCAGCACCACATCATCTGAAGATCTTGATCTGCCAATGTCCTCTTTTTCATAAAACAAAATGTAGAGTGTCTGATTATCCGTTTACAAACAGATTTTTTTTCAAGAAGCGATCAATGTAACTTTTTTGGGTGTAAAACCTTCCACAGTTTGAAGACTGGAAAAAGTTCAATCAGTAGAGAATCTGCTGCAGTGTAATAAAGGGAAAGTTCAACCCAAAAAGTTACGGCGTAGCTGAAGAGTTCAATTATTTAGCAACTTTCCGTTTTTAAAACCCAAAATGATGTCCTAATTGTGAACAGCTATATTTTCTTACTTTGATGGAATGTATGAAAATACTTTTGTCTTATTTCCATATTTTATTTTTACCACCGGTTTCGGGTTTTATTCCATTATCGAGTACAAAAATTCATGTTATCATTCATTTCATTGAAGTGATCGTGAATTTTCACAAAATACACAAGTCATCAATCACACAATAGTTATTTATCATACAAGGGAAAAAAGTATTAGATTTCAGCTCGAGGATGTGTTGACAAAAAACCGAGAGCTAAAATCTAATATTTTTCCCGTGTATAATACACAATTTTTTTCTGTGATGAGAAAAACGACAATTTAATATTGAAAAAAATACATTATTACAATATATTAAAGTCAGAAAATTATCGATGTGAAATTTGAATTTTTAAACAATTTTCAAATCAATAGAAAATGAAATATCTGTCAATTTAATTCTATGATTTGATTTAAAAACTGCGAACTTAGTGGTCAGTAGTTATTTTGAAAAATGTTCAATTCCGAATTTTCTCTGATTCCACCGGAGTGGAATTTCTGAAACAAATTGGGAAAGGTTACACGCCCAAGAAAGCTGCGATATTTACGAGTACACATATTAGTGACTTTTTGAATAATACTCCCGATGAAGTTTATTTAATGGCCAAGGTTGTTGTTGTATTTGGGATTGCAGGAGCTTGTTGAATTTGTCAAATCAGCAAGGTAACATTAGATGATATTGAGAAGATTGGGTACGTTATTAATAGTGATACTCAAGCAAACAAAGAATGATGTAAACAGGAGATTTGTAGTTACTGAAGAATATATTAAATTTTACCGAATGTACATAGCCCTTCGTCCAGCAGAAGCAAAGGATCGCCGCCTGTTATATGCATATCGCAAAGGAAAATGTATCAATCAGATTGTGGGTAGCAATCAGTTTTATAAGGTACCTGAAGCAGTGGCTACTTTGCTTCAACTTGAAAATGTCAATTCATATACAGGTCATTCATTTCGAAGATCGTCTGCTACACTTTTATTTGAATCTGGGGGGGACTTGATGACAGTAAAGGAACATGGCGGTTGGAAGTCATCAACAGTCGCTTACTTTTTTCCGGGGAAAAAAGTAATTTCATAAAAAGTGACATTTTCTTACCTGTCATCAGGTAACACATTCGTGACACAACTTGGTTTGGAATCTTCCAATTTTCATTTTTTGTTAATATTTTTAATTTTTTAATTTTCAGCTTGTGTCAATATTTCAATTTTTTATTTTTTTGGTTGTTGCTTGTATGTTATTTTTTGTAATTTCATTTTTTTGTTTAATAAAATTGTTATTTTTTCGGTTAACCTCTTTGATTTTTTACAGATTCTTTCAGGGATTTCAAATCAATTTATATCATATCAGACAGTGGAAACCCGATCTGATGAAATACACCACGAAACATTGTCAACCACCTTGAAACGTACACAAAAATATCTTTCTTTTGATGGAAACAACTTGAATCATGCTATCGGCTTGCTCAACAATGGTTTCAATTCTCTCACGCATCTATCTGATCAGTATTATCTAAAAAAACAATCAAGTGAAAATTTTTATTATTTGGAAGATCGGCAGCTAGAA